CCGCTTTATTCAACTGCATCGCTCAGATCGAATAACTTTCACTGCCTGTGCTTGAGACAGTTGCTGATTGACAGTTTTCACGAGAGCGATATTTCTGCATTTTCTTCTTTTCGGAGAAAGAAGCTCAAACCATGGGTAAGTGGACAGCTCAAATGCACCTCCCTAGACAGCTAAGAACAAGGAGCGATATGAGATCTGATCTTGGAAGGGATATTCTTTATTGGATTTAAAAGTGCCGGCAAACAGCTTGTGATGTATATGCAGTAACATATAAGGAACTCCAGAAATATTGTTCTTAATCAGCATCAGGTTGCTCTAGCGGACATAATGTTGCGAGGAACATCAGCCGCTACTGGTACTCAAAAAAACACGAAGTCGTGGCCAGTAGTCCGTTCTCCAGTAATAATAATAGTTCTCCAGTAGTAATCTTTTGTTGATGCAATGCTTATTTCGTACTATAGTTTGTTCCTTATCTGTTTATCATTCATCGCAAGGAAGAGGAAACGATGAGTCTGGTCTAATAAGTGAATTCAGACGCTAAAGATTCACAAATAGGCATGAGAGGAGATTTACTATTCTATGTCTAACAAAACAAGATTCTTTGGAAGTGACTAATTCTTGCCCTCAGATCGCAATGCATTATTGCAAGTGTGTAAAGTAAATAATAAAGAACTTTGAAAGTTAAAGTCAATTCAGTAAATAGCTTAATGCACTGTGCATCCTTAATGAGTATAATCTGATGAAATGAAAGACAAGATTTTATTTACATGGCGTTATTCTCCGAAGGTGAAACAATATTGCAGGCACGTACCTGAACATATCACTTCGTCTACTTATTAAATAACATCAATATACAAATATGGAATACAAGTTAGTCTGCCTCAATAACCCACACAAACGGCGATCACCTTACTTGACTAGTTGTGAAGAAAATCTAACATTACGCAAACCTGAAGCACCAATCAGCCAGAACTCGCAATTACAGTTAACAGGCGAACAGCATATTTTATATCGGCTAAACGTGCACGATGATTTCTGGTGATGAGAACATGATCAATCTGGTTAACCGTTGATACATTAAGGGTCTACCATGTGTGACCTTATGCAGCGATTTGTGAGGAAGAAATATATCCGCTTCTCATGTGTTAATAGTTCACCGCATTTATTGATGCCACGAATATCGCGTGTTTCCGGACACCTGCACATCTCATTCCTCGTTTCTACGTTCGTATTTAAATCGCCTAGAATAATCAAGATATCATGGATTCGAGACTGTTGAAGCAGCAGACATCGTGACATAAAAATCTTCCTTTGGTGCCGCTACCGCAGCTTTGATAGCTACCAACTACCTTGACGGCAAGTCGTTCGTACCTGGACTCGAACCCGCCGTAGCGGTTCGGTCGGAGAGTAAGCTCCAGTCAACAAGGGTTCTTGTGCATGTCTATCGAATGCCAGTGCAACGCTGCAACCTTGAGCCGCGCCTTTTGCTGCGATTGGTGCGCAATAGGAGCTGTAATTTCCAACGGGCACAACGCTAGTACGAAGCCAGTGCGTCTTTCTGTTGCAGCTACTTGTTTTCCATAGGATTCAGTTCCTCCGAAAGGACCAATTAGCGTTAGCACGTTCCACATTGACAACAAAATCTGACACTGAACGGTTTTTCTCTTTTCTGAAGCTTAAGAAGATATACAGTCATAGGCATTGAGAGCTACGGGTTCGTTACCAATAAAATTCGGTGTACATAATCAGAGACAAATCCGTTTTATAGTTGAATGACCCAAAAGAGCTTCACCAGAGACTCGCTAACTATCCATCTCTGGGTTCGTGACACACATTCTTAACAGTGGTAGCATTTAAGCAAAATGGCTCTTTTACTCACTCGCAAAATATATTTCATAAGCATTTTTCATGCAATTCGAGCTTCCATGCTGTAAAAAATTTTTTACTGACATGAACAACAAAAATTGCTATAAAGAGTTCAAATTTTTATTTAGTAAGTACTTGATAACTCCGAGAGTTTCAACAAGTTAGAGTCACGAACTGCCTGAAAGTTCGTTTGTTTCACTGCATTGTCGTTATGCACCGACCCGCCTTATTTCAAGAGAGGCGAATGGCGTCACATCGAATGCCGTCGACGTACACCTTCTGTCTACAGACAACGCACCAGAGGCGTTTGCCACGTGTTAAAGCATGCAACGATTTTCAACAGATCACTGGTCATAACGTGCATGCTACTCGACGCTACAACATCTGAATCGCTAGCAGCGCTGTCATGAAAGCAACAAATCTGAGAGTACTCTATATGTAACAAATATTGACAAGAATTCAATACATACGTTTGGTGTTAACAATGAAAGTACCATTATAATACAGAATGTGTAAAACATTTATACACGTACTGGGTGCGAAAGGAAAGGAAAGAACTAAAAAAAGACGAGAAACTGCACTTGAAATTTTTCACGATCAGCACTGCAAAACAGAACGTTCTTGAAAGGTCACATGCTCAGCCTACTCATGACTAAAACAAGCCAGTTGTTCCAGCTGAAAAACTGAAGAACAAATTAGGAAATCAGTCGAGCAGTAATCAGACCATTCAGATGTACTCAGCGCACCACGCTTCGGTATATCGAATATCAACTTCGATTAAAGCCGGCAGTTCTGCCTGAAAATCAGCTACATAGAGTTAGAACAAGTTAACGGCGCAGAGTATACGTGCAATCCAGACTGCGGCAAAAGTTAAAGGTACTAAACTTACCTTAAGTATTTCAAAGGTAGCCACCGATAGCTGAGTACTGTTCAGATTAAGCTTCTGTAAATTTTTCAACGCTACAAATCGTTCATTAAAAATTCAAAGCCGATGCCGTTCATCATAACTTCGAACTTACCAGTGAGGCATTCAAGGCCTTTGTCTGTAACGGGCGTTTCGCATAGATTCAAAGCTACGAGCTTATGTAGGTGTTCTGAGATCAGTTGCAAACCCGAATCGCCAAAATGTGTAGACCACAGGTTCAGGTATCGCAAAGACGGCAATTTCACAAGGTACTCAGCAGATGCGGAAGTGACCGCCGTGAAAGCAAGATTCAACCACTCCAAGCTACCGTAGGAACCGTTTCTAAGCACCATCGCCAGATCTTCATCCTTTTCAGAACGCAACGTCACTTGTTTCATCACAAACATAATTTTGTTTATTTTGGTATGCCTCAGGGAAACATGTTTCGAATGATTAGAATGAAATTCCGATGTTGCCGGTCCCAAGCCCGGTTCAGAAAGGAGGAGGGTTGGAGACGGTGGCAAAGTCTCCGTAAAATTTAGCCACCTGCCACTCATGTTATTGACGCCATCGAAAACTGCATCTGCTCGGTTACCAAGGGCCATGCAACCTATTGGGGGACTGAAGCAAGCTGCGAAAAGTCGGCGATCAGAACCTGCTCATCCCCTCTGCCAACCGGGGGCATTGCAGCACAACAACGTTTGATGAAGGCCGACGGAACGGCGACGAGACGACGAAAATTGATGGAATGCATCAACCGGCGATTTGGAGCAGGAAGTTGCGTTATGCGTGAAGAAGCGCGAACCACTGTGATTAAAGCAGAGCGCTGAGTCTGAGAACTAAGCTCTCGATATTCAAGTCGATCTTCATCCGTATGCTTACCTGCGGTCATGAATCGAGGACCATGACTGAAAAATTTCGACTCCGTGTACAAGCGGTTGAAATGAGTTTTCTGAGATGGGTCGATAGTCTTACGCATCTCGACATATTCCGGTGTACAGAAACAATTCGTGAGAGCGTTCATATGTTGTGAATGCCTTCAGAGAGAAAGGCGAAGTAACTGTTTCTCGCCCGACCGACTGGCAGAAGGCCCAGGGACCGGTCAAAATTAACCTGGTGCAAATATATGGGAAAAGTCTGCTCGAGACTCCGACTGTGTTCCGCCGAAGCTCAGACTCTAGCCAGGACCAGGGACGTTGGAAGAACTGTACGACGTGTATGCCACTGCCACCCGAAAGGAGAAGCGGTAATGGAAGATGATGATTAGAATAAAAAATTTCATTGGTGATTTCAAAACAGTTTGTAAGTAGATTGTAGACACATCGGATTTACCCGCGCTTTCACGATGTTTTGCTTAAGAACCGTTGCCTGATTGAACATTCGCTTATCGCAAAAACTAGGGCCCATCACAACTAACGTCGAGGGAACCCAGAGAAGTGACTTGTAAGTACCGTACAATGCGTACCGACAAGTTACAACAATAGAGTTATCCACACACGAAAATTATCTTCAAATCATACAAGAATGTATCCATAAAGGAGTCGACACAAGAGGATTCACCATGATTATTCACTGACGGTTATTATTCACCAAATGACGGCTACTTAACGACTCCGAAAAGTCAGGGATGGAAAGTACAACTCGGTCATAAGCGCCTGAGTTTTAGACCAGTCTCAAACGGAAAAGTACCACTAGAGTGATTTGGACGTTTGTGTCTGTGACTGATTTCCGTGTTCCGAACAGATAAAGCTATGTCAAGACAACACTGCTTGAAATGAGGTGCGAACTTTGCACATTTCAAAAGAATCATCGTTTTGTATTCAGCTCCTTCGACAGGCACGAAACGGCAACGAGAAGAAACATACGCAACAAAGAGGGATACCATCTGAGAAGTAGGAGCCCTAGAAAATGTGAACTGGACTTACTCCAGAATGTGCATATCGCGACACGAATATCGAGGTAGCTAATCCGTAAGAAGCGAACATAAGTGTTATGCAGAATTGGTTTGACTGCCTCAGTCAGAGGTCACGTTTTGAGGCAGTGACGATGTCCGTTTATTAGAAACACTGGTAGCAGAAGCCCCATTTTACGGGTTGTGAAATAAACTCTTAGAAGATTCCAATCGCTAGATAAGCAGCAAAGGAGGGCTGCTGGACATAAAGTGGACAGGTTGCATTAGGAACGCTGAAGCGAGTAGATGGACAAGACAACTTTAAAACGAAGACTACAGCACTGCAAGAAAAACAACTCATCTCGTAGGCGTACCACATCTAGCAGAAGAAGTAATGGCGGATAAAGCACCAAAGCTTACTGGAAAAGTTGCCCTTAGGTGCATGGATATGATCACGCGGCCCGCAAGAAAGTACCGACTGTTAACAACTCAGAAAGTCCCTTTGAATGTTCGCTTGTTTTGTGAACGATATGATATAGCCGTTTTAACGTTGTTTTGTGCTGTTGCACAATTTCAGGTGGTATTTAATAACAGTTATCATAAATGATATTAATTCGACTAACTTGATGTCAATCTTCTGGGAATCTTAGGGAAGATACAAAGTAACAAATGAATCCATTAAACATAGCATTTAAATTCGCAGCAACTATCGCCTCCTTGATTCATGGGTAGGAAATCCAAACGTAAAAGAAAAATAGAAAAGTTTTATTGACCGTCGACATATTTCGTCACCATCACCGAAAACATGAACAGGACTGAATAAATAGAAAACTGAAATCGATGTTCATGCGCAATAACAATATATTATTGACATAATCCTCAGTTACAGTTGTATCACTTAGTCGGAAAACTACATTTTTCGTAACATTAATTAGTGCATCCCAGCCTTGATTTATATAAAAGGATGAAGAGCATTCACGGCACATTTGGTGTTTCATGCCAAAAATATGAAGAGGCTCGTTAATAGCCCGAACGTGGTGTCGTCCCTGTCAATTATTATTATTCAATTACTCGTTGCTCTGACATCTGCGAACTACTGACAGATGCTCATTTACCCTGACATTAAGCCGTTAGGGATCTTACCATATAAATTCTGCGTCATTCACAGCATTTAATCTTATAAATAATATTAAGAGCTTCAGAATGGTTGCTCGATTGGAATATTTTTAAACGTAGCATCTCTAGTGTCATCCCACTTTCATTAAGTATTTTCTGACTTGCTTTGAAACTCAGGCGTAAAGTGGAATAGATATTACGAGTTCGGGTGTCCGGTGGCTCGTTTAACTTAAAGGTGCGATGCTGCAGTTCACGGTTTAACAGTGTAGGAAATTAAGAATTTTAAAGAAAGGCCCTGTGAAAATGGATAATTTCCTCATTCAGGTTTCTACAGTAATGGACGACGCAGCTGAGTGATATAGCATATTCTTCATTATGTTCCTGAATAAGGCAGGTGGAGCGCAGAATTATGGCTGAAGAAGGAAGTTTTAACGGACGACCAATTTTAACAAATTCTCCCAACTATTGAATTGCACAAATGTACAAAATGTGCCGGAAATAATCCTCATCCTTCGATATATGTCAAAGACGGAGTGCAGATATGAATCTGATACGAAAAATGTTAATTTCTGACCGAATAAAATACAGGTGTCACCCAGAATTATTTTAAAATATATTATTATTACGTGTACTTCAGTGTCTCATTTATTTACTGCCGATGATGTTATCAGTGAGGGTGATGAAACGCGACGTAGTAAAAAATTTTATTCTGTTTTGGGTTTCCTAACCATGCATCGAGAAAACAAGCTGTTGATCAATAACAGGTCTAGAATTAAAAACTCCTTCAAAAAAACTTTAACTAAAAAAAATAAATCCAGCAAAACTTACCGTGCATCGAGGAGGCAAAGTCAGCTTATCGGGGCCGC